TAGCGGGTCGCTCGGCGGGCCTTGCGTTTTCGAGAGTTTCACGTTCAGCTGAAGAGTTTTTCCCCTCACATAAGCCTGTCATTTTCATTAATATTACTAGTCCAGGAAATAATATAGAGTTGGACGCGACTTTTTGTTTCGGCAAGCCGAGTTTATCACTATAGATGCTAAATATTAAACATAATAGTTTCCATAGTCATAAAAATGGGGGGAAGATTGTTTACAGGGTGGTTAATTGTATAATTTTTACGTAAATTCACGTTTTTCGCTTATAACTTTTTTACGTTCAATTCCACGAGAAAACAGTAAAGTACTTTTTCTTTCGTCTTCAAAAGACCTACAAAACTAGCTCTGGAGCGTCAAAAAATATTGATTAGATCAAAAGTTATAAACAGAAGAAGTTTATTTATGACTTTTGAATTAAACATTTTTATAAACTGCGTTATTATTACCAGAACGTTTTGGCATCGCATCCTCTCATTCCTTATCACTGTCTAATAACTCACACGAAATCTGGAATCGGTAAGTTGAATAGTTTACAAGTTATGGCCTTATAAACAAATGAACTAATTATTAGTCTGGACGATCCCGAGGATCTTCCACAATCGCACTGATTTTTTTCAAGGTAGATAATATGTTGATCTATCATTTTTTTTTAATTTCAAATTTGGAACCTGGATTTTTTTTATTTTTTAGTCTTAGTTGCAAAATGAAATATACGACGCACGAGCGTGATATAGTTATATATTATTACATAATTGGAAAGCTTATGAAAAGAGCTTTAAGTTAAAAAAAAAACGTCAAGATTCGTTGAAAAACAACGGAGTTACAGACTGTCAAATATATTATTTTCAAGCCAATTTCCCTTTTTTAACGGCAGGACTATGAATATTATCGTCATTTTCTTCGGACTCGCTGTCATTCGCTTCCCGCACCCTTCCGCCGCGCCACGGCTAGCCGAAAATCAAGCGACCTGACTTTTGGCAATATTTCTTATGCACAACATACTTCCACAAATAAAATATTTTTACCTGGGAAAGTAGTCGGGTTGCCGGTTATGACAGTATTCTTTTTTACCGCTGCCAACCCAATTTGTTTAACAATCCTTCCTTGCAAAGGCAAAAAAGCCTATTCGCAAATATGTTAATTTGAGAAAATCCTCATTTTATAATGTATGCCTGCCAATTAAACACTATATATATTTAAGATCATTAAATAATTGTTCTTTCTTCTTTTGTTAAAGACTATTACATGAATCTTGTAAAATAATGTCTATTAAGTTGATAATGTTTTAAGCTTTTTTATGACTCATAATTGTTTTGTCTTAGTTTTCTTTCTTCTTGCTTTATCACAAAAAGGCAGAAGAATTTAATATACATAAGATTATTTAAACATTGTACCTATGAATGTTATTGTTTTCACAAAACAACTGCAGTTATCCTCTAATGTACATTAGAGCTATATTATAATGATGATAATAAATTTTGAAACAAAAGTGGAAAATATCTTTATTAAAATAATTCTAAATTCAGAATGAACAAAAGAAACTTAAACAAAAGAAGATTTTAAACGTTTCCAAATGCCTTCATCCAAAAGATCACCAGCGTTATTATTTTCAAGTAGATTAATCCAGAATGGACTTCTAGTTTTCGTCATTTTAGGAACTACTCGGTTTACTATCGTGTCCTTTTTATCACTGAAAATGCCTCTTGGTGTTTGAATATGCTGCGGTAGCATTTTTCTTTAATATGTTGCTAAAGCAACCATACTCATCATCTTCGTAGTTGGTTTTTATACGTATAAATTCTGTGATATGGTAAGTGGATATTGGATATTCTTTTTCTCTATTAAAAGTTTTAAACTTATTTTCTAATTTTATAAATGTCGTGGCATTACATTTCCACAACATTCATGCTGGATGAAGCTTTTTGCAACACTCTTTAAAATCCACAAAATCTCCCACATTTCCCATTTTCCTTACGGCTTGTTCAATTTTTCCGTGGAAGTCATAGGCAGCCATATAAGTGTGACCTGATATTGGGTATTTTAATGTGATGCTTTTCATGGTACATAAGGAAGAGTTTATATACGATAATATAGCCAAAAATAAGATACTATTCTTATTTTGACCACTACAGTTATTTAACCAAAGTACCTGTATATGTTCTGCATCTCTATTACATTCCAGGAATTCAACCCGTCTCCCCGCTACTGCTTCATGCCACAAGATACAAAAATGTTGATATTTTTTTGCCATAGCACCAAATGTTTCATTAAACACCACAATTGGTAAAATTGATTGATAGTAGCTGTTGTGCATTTTTTAACAATACGCATTTTCATTATCTTCCAAAGTTGTAAATATTCATCCAATCAAAGACAAAACGATCATTAGCCTCTTCTGCCTTTGTTTATATACACATTATTAAGAATCTAAAGTACATTAAACTGTTTTGCATGTACATGCTCTTTTGCCTTGGAATGGCCTCCAAGGTTTATAACCTTGGCGGCCATTACATTACATTACAATAGACTGTTTTTTCCATTTTATAACTTTAAAACCCATTATCCTAGGAATACCGTTTCTGCACCAAAACGTAGAGCTGCTTCTGCGCATTACATTTATTTAAATATGAATGAATGCGCTGTCAACTTTGACAGTCTTACAGACAACTCCGTTGTTTTTCAACGAATCTTGACGAATTTTTTTTTAACTTAAAGTTATTTTCTTAAGCTTTCCGAATATCTAATAATATATAACTATATCGCACTCGTGCGTCGTATTGCAACTAAGGCTAAAAAATTTAAAAAAAATCCAGGTTGCATTTGAAATTTAAAAAAATGGTAGATTTCAACGTATTATTATGAAATCTACCTTGAAAAAAATCAGTGCGATTGTGGAAGATCCTCGGGATCGTCCAGACTAATAATTAGTAAATTTGTTTATAAAGCAATAACTTGTAAACTATTCAACTTACCGGTTCCAGATTTCGTTTGAGTTATTAGACAGTGATAAGGAATGAGAAGATGCGATGCCAAAACGTTCTGGTAATAATAATGCAGCTTATAAATGTTTAATTCAAAAGTCATAAATAAACTTCTTGTTTATAACTTTTGATTTAATCAACATTTTTTGACGCTCGAGGGCTAGTTTTGTTAGGTCTTTTGAAGACGAAAAAAAGTACTTTACTGTTTTCTCGTGGAAATGAACGGAAAAAAGTTATAAGCGAAAAACGTGAATTTACGTAAAAATTATACAATTAACCACCCTGTAAACAATCTTCCCCCCATTTTTTGACTGTGGAAATAATATGTTATTGTATTTAGCATCTATAGTGATAAATTCATCTTGCCGAAACAAAAAGTGACGAAATGGTCATTGCCCAGCTTATTTTCCTGGCCTATATGGACATACCTATGAGTTTGTAAAATTTAAGTTTTGGTAGAATCAGCCTTGTTACTATTGATTATTAAAATGTACTGCGGGCTCTCGGACTATTACACATGATTATCATATTGAAAATTAATATAAAATAGGTATTATCTTCACCATAAAATATATTATTTACAGATTATTATCACAATGAAAATTAAAATAAAATAAGTATAATTTGTAAAGTACGCATCATAGGACAAAGTATCAATCGGTTTTGCTTAAAAGAAACACTTAATTTTCTGTATAACAGGGTGTTTCAGTTCGGGTGAATCAAACTTTAACCACAAATAGAACTCGATAAATAATTCAGAATTGCCTTATAAAGCAAGTGTCTAAGTCTTACCGTTTCCACTGTACAGGGCTGTATTGGTTGGTTTTTAAAATCGGTTTATTTATGAAATCTTTGGTATGCTTAATAACAAATTGATTCAAATTTGGTGTGGTATTAATATTCACACATGTGCATAATTTACTATAAAATTTACAAATTTTTGTAGATCAGTGGCGTAGGAATGGGTAGTAAAGCGGGATTTCTTTACTCCAACTTCTACGCCAATAACTTAATAATTATTTCGGATTCATTTTTAGATTCCGTGGACTATTCTACATAAAAAAGGTACAGTTGTTGAAAATCGGTTAGTGTATCGTTAAGTAAAGCTTTATAATTGAAATGCAAAAATTTGTAAATACTTTAAGAAAAAATGTTAAAATAATATTTTGAGCATTTTATTCAATATTTTTGCCTGAATTTTATTACCGAGGGTTTTTGGGGTCGCTGATTACGAATCTGAAGTCTGAATCCGAAAATTTATGAATAAAAGGTGGCGGCTCCAATATAGTGGATGTAAAAATTGGAAAAGCATTCAAAATTTGAAGATTATAGCTGAAACTTTCAAAGTCGCTAATTACGAATATAAAATTTTAATTTGGAAATTCAAAATGGGGGACTCATTATGGCGGATTGAAAAGTATTATAAAAATTGGTAATTACCATTCAAAGCAATGTTTCAAAAATTCAGTCATTTGAGTAAAAATAGGCAAATGTCTAAAAATGTGAAACAAAGAATATAAATTAGAGTTGCAATGTGCTGTCTCTTTCAAATACTTTTAGTAATTCCAGCAGGGAGTGATAACATCATACGCCTAAATTGGGAAATATAAGACGCACAAAATGGGTAAGATTTTAGAGCTAAAAATACGATGATTCAAGTAGCAAACTGTCTCAACTAAAGAGGCGTAGTTTGTCATCCGTGCAAGTGAATTAGAATTTAATTAGGACAGTTTGACCCACAATAAAATTGAAAAAGAAACAAGATTTCTCACTGAGGCTATTCGAAATTTTGAAAAATAAATTGATTAATATATTTTTTTATATGATGCGTATAGGAACAAATTAATTTGCGTAAAGATTTAGATTAAAAGTTGTGCACTGCATCCTACTGTGATTTCTGCTATGTTTCACATAATTTCTAAAATACTAAAGCATAGTACACAGTCAAGTGTAGGCACACATAAAGCTTACAGGACAAAATATGAAAAGTCACTTAACCTAATATTTAAATATTTACAAGTTCTCAGTCGAAGTCAACTTATGACAGTCATGGAAATGGTTCATATCTTTGAGAGAAAATTCCGGCACAGCCATAAGCGAGTCCGGACGATACCTGGAGCTATTTCTAGAACTAGTCCTCATCATAGGAATTTCCACAGACACTACTGTGGTCAGTACTGACCCCCTGTGGTTGTTACCACTGTTAATTTTCATGTTACTCTCACCACTAGTCCTTTTATACTGGGGTCCCGATCCGTATGGTAACGGCTTACCTCCTATGGCACCCTTATGGAGCTCCGCTCTATCCTTGCATAGGCCATACCGTCCCATGAGGATGAAAAAGTCCCTCCGGTACTGTTGGGTCAGGAGAGCGTACAAGCAAGGATTGGCGCACGAATTCAAGGGGTAGAAGAACACCAGGAGAATCTTGGTTTGGGTGACTGTGATGAGGGGGTAGCCTAGGAGTGCGGTGAGGCCGAAGAAGGCTATGGGCGCCCAGCAGGCGAAGTCCGTGAATACCAGGAGGGCCATCCTCTTGGCTACTGTCAGGTCGCTGCGGACTGAAGTTGTTGACCCTGTACGACCACCTAGAAGAAAGCGTGATTTGTTTTTATTATTTCGTATAACGCAAAAATCTAACCCGTTTTCTACAGCATGCCTTGACAACTTTTTTGGGAGAAAACATCAGGTCAAAACAGATTTTCGATATTCATTTTATTTTTGGAGTTAGGGCTGAAAATATAAAAATATAAAAATATAAAATAATATAAAAAAATTGCTATTTTGGACGACTTTATTTTTTTTTGTATATAATCCAGATTTAGTTTTTTAATCATTTTAATAATTTTCGAATTATATATTTTTCCAATGGAAGCCGTGGCCTAATAAGAGGACGGTGTTCAGCATTTACCAAAAATATACAGTTTTGCAGATGTGACTGTAAAAAAATAAGACCACTTTTTCATTTGAACTATGGACCAGTGCCTCTTGTTTTTATGATATGAAGCGTTAAAGACGATTTTACAAAATCAAACTTTAACAACATCTCTTTCAAAAAATAATGTATTGCATTGAAATTTGGTACAAGTAAGTTTTTCAGCGTACTAATACATTAGTGCTGTTAGTTTTCGACCACCGCTACTTACTTCTCTTTCAATGACATTTTATGACATAACTTTTTTTGGGGTTAGATTTTTTAGTACAATGTAAAATTTAATTTTACACAAAAAACGTACTCTTGTTAACATTGTTGAAAATGCATCGTTGTTAAGAAAAATCCCAATTGACAGTACCAAAGTCAATCAACTTGCATCCCCAATATACTTTATTAGCTTCTTTAAATAAAAATATAACGATTTAATGCCTCTGGGCAAGATAGTAGCCAACGGTCTCTAACAGATAGACAAAAATTAACAGTGACTTATTTAGCACCCTCAAAAACTTGTATCAAATTTGAATGAAATTATTGCTTTTTGAAAAATATAGCATTTGATTCTAAAAATTATCATCATAGACTCAAATATCTCATATCTCAAAAACAAAAGACGACAGGCTCCTGATTCATAGGAAAAAATTATCTTATTTTTTTATCTTCTAACATCCTCTAGTTTTTGCCCTCATTTTCGCAACACCCTGTATATACCAAAGAAATAAAAAAAGACATAGGTAGTTGCTTTTTCCAAATTTAAAAAAGGACAAATGCATTACTAATCAGAATCTGATGTATTTATAGCTGAATATGAAGAAAAATAAATTTATATAGTTGGTGAGGTAAACACAAACTTTTTAATTTTTCAGAAAAATTTCTATGGAATCTGTGGAATGCCCTCCTTTTAGTTAGATTTTGTTTTATTAGAATATTTTTGATCTGTAAGTCAAAAACTACTAGTTTTTATAAATATGTGGATAAAAGTTCTAAAAACAATTATTGTAGCCGGTCGTCTAATTGTATTAAAAATTATATTTTTACTACGACTGAAAAACTAAAAAGCATCGAATATCTTTGACGGATTTCTCTCAAAAAAATGGCTAGCGTTTACGAAATCCGCAAGATTCTATTTTTAATAATTAGTAATATACCATAGCATGACACTTAAAATGGATGCATTGTATATTATATCATTGAAAAGCAAAACAAATGCTTTATTTGCTCAGCTTAAAATTCAATATGGCGCCCATAAGAGAAAAGAAAGTTGATGATGGTTCCTTGCAACCGAAACGTCGGAATGAAAATCTAAATATACAATGAAATTGCTTGAAAAAACTTGCTGCGAAAAAATTTTCAGATTTAAAAAAATCCTCTAAATAAAAAAGTTACAGATTTTCGAAAACGCCACATTCACTTTTTTCAAAATAACTCAAAAGATCTGAAGAACTAGAACCGGTCTAAGTTGGCAACAGAACTGACTAAAACTTTATCTATCTAACCATTTTCATATCTCTTATAGTTTCCAAGATACCAATACATGCATCACCAAAATGGTCCAAACTATATTTTTCAATGTCGATAAAACCATTGTATAAGTAAATTTACTTATACAATAATAAAACATTATTGTCTCGAAAATCGCGAGGTGTAGAACGTAGTTAAATAGTGACAAAACAATAAATTTTAATCATCATTGCTTTCAGAGATTGTTTCTTTTCTTCATATTTTATCTTCTATAGCTTTTGATCTTTTAATTTCTCTGTTGGTAATTATTATTAATTAAATTACAAAGTTTTAGGATTTAATTAATCATCTCTATATCTCATGGGATAAAATATATGTAATTTGAAAAATACTTCTTCACCAAGGTTACAATACGCCTTGGCGTCAGAAATTACATTAACTTCAAATGTAATACCTAATTTTTATGTTACTTTACTGTATGGTAATTCAAATTAATTTAAAAAAATTTTCTGATTTCTTATCAAATTAAGATATACAGGGTGTATCTTAAGCAAAAAAGTGCATATGAACATCGGTCCGCAAGTGCTTCGTTACCGATATACAGGGTGTCAAAGTTGGGAAAATAAATCGCATTTTCTTAAATATCTTTCGACTGATTCGAAATAATTTAATGAAATTTCATACACGGAGGTTTTTTGGAATGACAAATTCAAAGCTGTGGTCAATTTAGGTGTATTTTTTTGAGGGCGCCAATAATGAAGTAGCTAGGAGCAACCGTTTCCATGAAAAACGCATTTAAACTTACTTGAGCTGGAAATATCATAAAAATTGAATTAAATCAAATGCTCAAAATGAGAACCGCCACTGTCAATACAAGCATGTAATCTTCTGCTCATCGACTGTCGCACACGTTCCAAAATTCCTGGAGTGTTGCGTATGACATTACAAGAATTTACAATTCTGTTTCTTAAATCATTTTCATCTACAACTGGCGTTGCATAAACAAGCGACTTCAGATGTCCCCAAAAGAAATAGTCCAGAGGATTTAGGTCTGGAGATCGTGCTGGCCACGGCTGAGGTCCTCCCCGACCTATCCATCGCTGAGCAAAAGTGTCATTAAGATGTTGGCGAGCAGCAAGACTGAAATGAGCAGGTGCCCCGTCGTGCATAAACCACATGTCATTTCTGGTTGCTAGTAGTACATCTTCTAACAGACCAGGCAATGTTTCAGCTAGAAACTGTCTGTAAGTCTCACCATTCAGTCGAGGAGGAAGAAAATGCGGTCCGATGACATGATCACCAATAACTCCGGCCCACACATTCACCGAAAACTGCTGCTGAAATCCACGTTCTCCAATAACATGGGGATTTTCATAGTTCCAAAAATGATTATTGTGGAAGTTTATGATGGCATCCCGTGAAAAAGTTGCCTCATCTGTGAACAGAATTTTAGACGTAAAGTTGGGATTCTGCGCAGTTTTTTGGAGAAACCATCGACAATAATCTAACCGTGCAGGAAAATCTCTTGGCAACAGTGGTTGCACGCGTTGAATGTGGTACGGATAAAGTAAATTTGTGTGCAAAACCCTCCAAACACTTTGATGACTTATGTTAAACTGTTCAGATAATCTTCGCGTACTACTTGACGGATTAGCTTCCACTTCTTGTAGGATTGCTTCTTCTAGTTGTGGTGTCATTATTGTTCTCGGTCTACCAATACGTTCAGCGTGAGCATTTAAAGATCCAGTTTCGCACAGTCTAGCATGGAGCCTTATGAAAGTTCTTTCTGATGGAAGTGGTCTATTGGGAAATCGTTCCTGGTAAATTCGACGGGCTTGTGCAGCATTTCCATCTGCTAGCCCATAAATGAAATGTATTTGAGCTTGTTCAACGTTATTCATAGTTAACTGCACACTAAAAGATAGTCAACTGACAGTATCTTGTCACTTTTAATGCCAAATATCATCGGAATTTTGTTATCACAGGAATTTTTGTATTCAACAAAAAAACATTTCTTTAAAATCTTTTTTAAGCAGATAAGGTAGGAGAATCGATTATTCTAGTCCAAAATGGCATACAGGGTAGCAGAAAAAAGTTGCGATGGATTAAAGAGGCCGAAATCGTTGCCGGTGGCGCCCTCAAAAAAATACACCTAAATTGACCACAGCTTTGAATTTGTCATTCCAAAAAACCCCCGTGTATGAAATTTCATTAAATTATTTCGAATCAGTCGAAAGATATTTAAGAAAATGCGATTTATTTTCCCAACTTTGACACCCTGTATCTCGGTAACGAAGCACTTGCGGACCGATGTTCATATGCACTTTTTTGCTTAAAATATGACAAGGAATCACCCCTTGAAATTAAAGTCATCACTTAAGATACACCCTGTATAAATATTAAATATTATATTAAAATAAACTACTATATTCAAACTACTAAAAATGAAATACCTTTCTTAATAGAAACCTTAAAAAGTAACTCCATTCTTGTGCTATAGCAATGACTAACAACATTGAACAAAGATTAATACGAATTCAGTCTTAATAATTAAAAGCATCACAAGAATAAATAAACTGTAGTACCTTTGATCGTCTAATATTTCATGGATTCTTTTGATTAGCTTTTTTACAGCGCACGTATTGTATAGTGAAACCTCTCATGTATTAGCTAGCCAATAATATTACGGTTTTTCAAAAGATAATTTCAGTTTTTGATTACTCCCGTCCACGACTAGTCTACTTAGTTAACCAAACATTAAATGTAAGTACGAGTATATAAAAAAATATAATCATTTCAATTAAAAAAACCTGCCTTCTCGGATGGACCTGTACATGCTGCCATAGCACACGCAGATCAGCGCGAACGCTAACGCGTTGAACGCCAGCAGAGTGGAGAGATAAATGGCGTCCGCCTTTCCCTTGTTCTCCAGAGGCAGACAGATGCTCGTCTTGGAGTAGCTGCTGACGCCGATCAGCGGCAGCACGGCCATGAAGAGGGCGCAAATCCAACCGGCGATCATGACGCGGACGGCCGTGCGCAACTTGAGACGTTTGTTGAGGTGGATGGCCCACGTGATGGTGTACCAACGCTCGGTGGTGATAACTGCTAGGGTGTAGACCGAGAGGACGTTGCCGAAGATGGTGAGGAATCCCGCCACGCTGCAGCCGTTACCTGAAAGTAGTTGGCATATGGTGACACTTTATAATTTAATTCGAAATCCGTATATTTTAGCAAAATTTTTCGAAAGTAATAGTTTTATCAATGTGGCTGTGAAAAATGAATCCCACGCAACCCATTTGTTTTTGAAACTGTGTAAATAAGTCTTCAATAGCCAGTCTAAAATGTGTTCCAAATTCAACTAGTTCAGAAGATATTTAAGAAAAACTATGTTCCTAAGATAACATTACTAAGCTTTACTTAAAGTCGACTTTTGTAATTATAAAACCTAACGTTAATTTTTTTCAGAATATTTCTACTTTTCTTCAATTTATTCTTTTTATAATTAAACGGCATCAAAATTAAGTTAAAATCAATTTCGTATTTCTCCTAGTTTAGGTGATCCTATGATGTGCACCTTAAAAGTAACAACTTCATATTGAGATTTCGACCAAACTCATATATATCTGTCAGGAGTTTCTCTTTGATTTTATGGCAAGTGAACAACTTGAACATCTTTTTATTTTAATCAAATTGCCATCTTTTACTCTAGCTGCTGTAACTTTTTACTGACCACCAAAAACTAACATTAATGATTTTTTTAACGATTTTGATTGATAATATTTATCTACAGTTTGTCCTATTGTTGATGAAGTTGTTTGTCTTGGAGATTTTAATGTAGAATTGTTTAATGTTCACAATCCGTTAGAACCTTGTTTCAGTTCTTACAATTTTTCTCAGATTATGAATGAGGCCACTAGAATTACTTGTACCTCTAGTACCTACTTTAATTGATCATGTGTTTATTACTAATACTAACATTGTTGAACCTTTTGGAACAATTGCTGCTGATGGTATATCTGATTTTTTAAATGATTTGTATAATGCCTCTTGGTTTGGATAATTTATGAAAATAATCTTGATAAAAAGATTTCGATTTTTAATAAATTTTTAACAAGTCTTTTTGAAAAACATGCTCCTGTAAGAAAAGTAAGGGTTACGAAACCTCGAGTTCCTTGGTTGACTCCTAATCTAAAATTAATCATGAAACAAAGAGATAAGGCACTTCAAAAATTTAAACGTACTCGCGAGCACACTGATTGGTTACAATACAAAAATTTACGAAATTACTGTGTCTCTATGGTACGACAAGAAAAAAAAGGTTACTTGGAATTTATTGCTTCTCAAAAAAATTGTAAACAGACTTGGAAAGCTCTTGACTCTCTCAATATTCGATGTTGTAAAAATTTTATTTTGTCACCTCAGCAGGCTGACCCTAATGAAATGAATGACTTTTTTGCATCATTTTTGCGGAATATCTCTAATAAATGTGATGACCAAATTAATTTTTATGACAATAATAGATGTGATATTAATCTATCTTTCAAATTTGCTTTTGCTACTGTTGGTGAGATTCATACCATTCTTAATAGTATCAAAACAAAATACTGTAGTCCATTTATTGATCCGTATGTTACTCATATGAGTAATTAATAATTAATTATTTGCTATATTGACGAACAATACTTTGTTTGTGGAAAAAGGCAATCGGTTTGCCTATACCCAAAACAAATAATCCAGAATCGTTCTCCGATCTTCAAATAATTAGTATATTACCTGCGTTTTCCAAAATTTTTGAAAGATTGTTATATATTCAAATTTATAACTATTTTGTAAATAACAGTCTCTTACCTCAATCGCAATGTGGCTTCAGGAAAGGGTGTAGTACTGTAACTGCTCTAATTACCGTCACTGACGATTAAATAAAAGCACAAGACAGGGGACTAGTTAGCGCTTTAGTTTTATTGGACTTCTTTAAAGCTTTTGACACAATTAATCATAAGCTTCTTTGTTCTAAACTTAAGACTATGGGTTTGATGAACCAACTTTTGATCTTATTAATTCTCATTTACATAGAAGATCTCAACAAGTATGTGTTAATAACATTTTATCTAATAGTTTAGAAATACTTTCTGGTGTACCCCAGGGTTCAATTTTAGGTCCCTTAATTTTTATAATTAACGCTGCTTCCATTTTAGAATCAATTCAACAATGTAAAGTACAAGTTTATGCTGATGATACTCAATTATATTATCATTTTGATATTAATGATCTGGATCAAGCATGCAATATTGTCAGCTCTGAGTTACAAACTGTAAGGCAACAATCTGATGAACATAATTTAAAATTAAATTCTAGCAAATCAAAAGTAATTTTTTTTTGGTACTAAGAAAAAGGTACAAATATTAAGTCCCAACTTTAATATTATAATTGATGGTATTCCAATTCCTATTACTGACAGTGTAAAAAATTTGGAAGTGACTCTTGACAGTAACTTACGGTTCAATCAGCATGTGAAAACATTACTCCAAAAATCTTATTCTTCGCTAAGATTAATTTATAGTAGTCGTCATATTCTGAATAAAAGACTTAAAATTATGTTATGTGAGTCACTTGTTCTTTCCTATTTTAATTACTCTGATTATGTCTATGGTCCATGCCTTAGTATACAAGAAAAAATTAGAATTCAAAAAGTTGAAAATTCATGTTGTCGACTTGTACGTGGATTAAAATATTTTGATCATATCTCACAAAATTGTAGAAATCAAGTGGCTCAACATGGAGAATCGTCGACGTCACCATCTTGGCAATCTTGTGCGTTCCTTATTATCATTCATTAAAAACTAAATTTGTTAAGTGTTCTAATGTTAATTCGAGGAATATCCGATTTAAAAATACCTTTACAATGCCACATCATATCGTAGTGCCCTATTTAAAAGATGTTTTGCTTATAATTCTATCACTTTATACAATTCTCTTCCTGATAATTTTTAAATTTTTATTATTAACAAATTCAAGTATAAATTTAAATTATATTTATTGAGTGAACAGCTAATTTTATAGTTTATATTCGAGGATTTTTTATTTTAAACTGTTGATTATAGTTAGGTAATTGTATTTTATTTAAATTGTGTTATTGTTTCTTTTCTGAGCGATTGCCTGTTATTATTTATGCATTTTGAAATCACATGCTATCGCATGTGAATAGCTTTTGCTAGACTTCGCCATGAGTTTGCGAATTTCCCTTTATTTTTTTTTATTTCTTTATTTTTATATTTACATTATCTGCTTCTAGGACGATTTATTATTATTA